TTGTAATACCGGTTTTAAAAAACATTGATTGACACCATCCCACTAAATTTTGATTATTTTTGTTAAATTAAAAAATAAATTTAATCAAATTGGAAAAAATTTAATTTGAAAAAAAAGAATGAAAATGTCTTTCTATTAAACATGGTATCAGTCCGCCCCAGCTCACGCCATGCTAGATGTAATTACTTCAAGCTATTTTAATACTATTTTAATCTCTATAAAACAAAACACAGATAAATAAACTGATAAATACATATATTATTGAATAAATAAGTACATTTAAAAAATAGCTGAATGCCAAAAAAAACGTTTTTACAAAATTTTGTATAAAACTTTTCAAGTTTTTTATCAATCAAATTTTTGTCTACAATTTTAAAAATTTAATCTACAAAAATGTCAAACATGTGCTCACGCGCCTGCGAGCTTAATTTTTTTTCCATATAATCTTCCATCTGATCAGATTTTTAGAGAATTTTCCGACTTGCGATGCAACAGAGATGTATAACAAAGTAGACTCTTCAATTTAATTGATATCTCCCATATACCAGCTTTTGTTATGCTGAAAACATTGAAATGTATCTGGTAAAATATTTTAATTACATCATGTGCAGATCCTTAAAGGTTATCTATTTCAAGTTTTTCAACAACATCTCATCTCAAATATATTCCCACATGTATACACTCAAAAATCTCTAGCGAAACATCACCAATAGGTGTACTTTTTATACAGTAATGCGATATTTATTTTTTCTTACTAGTGTCAATGAAAATGAAAATATTATTTGAACAATGAAAAATATTATGTACTAGAATATTTATTGAGAAACTGAAGAATGTTTTCTGCAAAAAACAGCATCATTTAAATTATTAATACTTTCCACGATGTAGAAGGTGACGATTTGTAGGTGGCTGTCTTGCTCGCGGGAGCATGGATGGATCCTGTGTGACGTTAACATCGTTCAATCTTTCACTCCGTCTTGCCGATGAAACTTTTTTCCAAGCTCCCAAGCCACTCTTCAACTATCCACAATTCTCAAATGTTTTATTCTTTCTTAGATTTTTTTTTTTATAAAAACTTTTAACCTCTCTATTTTTAAAATTTTTTATTAGAATTTTCATTCTAATTTTATTTTGTCGTTTAGCCTTAAACGAATAATTTATAGAATGATTAAAAAGTGATTTAGTGCAGTGAATTATAGAGAAGTATTTATTTTAATTAACAATCATGAGTTGGTGTGATTGAGAAAATATTTTTTGAAACAGTATTGAGAATTCACATATTCCTTTCCACAAAATGTGGTAAAATGGTAAAAAGAATTTGGAGAAAAGAAAGAAATTTCTTTAAAAAAATTTTGTGAAATTTTTACTTTCATAATCTACGTAGAAAAAAAGTTAGAAAGTATTTAACACTAATGGAAGCTCGTGAAGCTTTTGTTTGCAGAGAATATTGGCGAAGCAAGCAGTATGATGCATGAGTCTTGTGAGCTTATGAGCTTATGAGCTTATGAACAGAAAAGAATTCACCATTTATTGACCATTCATTCATCAATTATTCACCACTAATTCACCATCCATTCAACACTCTCATTCACCATCTATTCACCATTCATTCACCACTTATTCGCCACTCGTGAGGCCCAGTTGCATTGAAAGGGGCAGATTTGTGTCACTTATTGTCTCGCTTTATGATGAGTTCGTTGCTTACGCCATCATCAATTTGGGAAACATTATATTGTAAAAATTTCATATCAAGACACAAAATTCGAAGATTAGGTTTATGCGAAAACCGAAAACTAATTTCCAAAAATAAATTCTCGTCGTTTAAATTTGAATCGAGTAGATTGATTACATTTTAAACAAGTAAAAGAAAACTGAAGAACCGACACTCATAGTCACACACACGCACACGCGCGCGCACAATTTACACGTACACACAGACAAAACCTACATCTAATAACATGCAAAAAACACAGACGCGCACGAACAAACACGCACACACACACACACACAAACATACAATAAGAAGTTGTTTCATTATGATCCTCTTGGCGGTTATCAATCTGTCACACATGGCATATTCTTGGTGACATGCTAATGTTATATTATTTGCTTCTATTGAATAAACAAACTTTTATAAACATCATACGAGTGACTTTGTATTCCTACTCACCAGCACGAACCACATAGATGGTTATTGAAGATGGTTATGTAAACGAACAATTGCGTTCATCTGATTTAGATGAAAATTTCAGCGATATTAGAAAACCTTAAAAGTGTTTTGTCCGAAAGTAAATGTTTCATAACGCTACTTATTTTTCTCCGGAAACCAATAACACGCCAAAGAACGTTTCATTAGCGAGTGCTCCATCATCTCATAATGACCAGACCATGGTTAAGAGCATTATGCGACTCCGTTCATACATTACATACATGCAGCATAGCAATACGAAATGCTTCATACACGTACATATATTCACATGTTTGTATTACACTATATATACTACAATATATTATATATATACATTATATATTATAATATATATTACAATATATATGTATATATACAAACACATACACATATACATACATATACAGGAACATAAGAACTGGTCTAATGAATGATTCCGTGCCTTCTGCTTACAAATTAGTTGAATGCGTCATTGTTAGGATGACTTCCTTCAATCAACATACATACTTACAAACAAACATACATATAAAAAAACTAACATACAAACAAACGTACATACAAACAAACAAAAACCAAACAAACAAACAACAAAAATGATTAATTGTAGGGTTAAGGAATGATGAAATGTTTAAGTGGAATGAAAATGTGTGTCAGTAAATAAATAAACATGGTAAAAACATGTACGTCAATCTGCTGATACTGATGACATTTCTCGTCTGATGAATTTGTCCCCATGTATCAAACATTTGTTTGTCTGAAGTGAAGAAGTTTTGCATGTTGGTTGGCAAGTGCATTGAAACGAAATTAAAGTATTGATTGATAATTCAGAAATTGCTGGCTAACTATTGATGTGACAACATTTCAAGGGCAATGAGAATATTGCAAAATTTTATTTTGATTTTTTTTTCTCTAAAAATTATTGAAAAAAATTATCTGGCAATAAATAAAAACACAAAACTTGCTTTTGCTTTTAAAACAAAAAATTTAAAGTTTAGTTTTTTTTTATTTTATTCTTCAAACGTTCTAACTCTTTCATTGATTTTTATGGAAAATTATCAAAAACGTGAAAATTTGTTTCGGATACATAATATCCTAATTAATTATACACAATGTTTACACAATGAGCAAACTTTGTAAAATGTAAAAAAAATATTTTCACTAAATTTTTAATTTTTCATGTATCAAAATTGAATATTACACAATAACTAAACAAATGTTTTAAAATAGTCACATGCTACTTGATGTGCTGATTGGTGGTTGCGTTTTGCGTTTTCAAATATCTCGTGATTCAAAATTTAAAAAAAATCAGTCCAGATGGTTTGGTGATTGATTGGTTAATGGATTAAAAGATTGAAAAGTTGTTGATTGATAGATTGGTGGTTTGATTGGTCGATGGTGGATTGGTGAATTGATTGGTTGAAAAATTAGTGAAATGATGAGTTGATAAGTTGGTTGATGAGTTAGTTAGTTAACGTGATAAGACGAAGTATTGATAAGCTAAGTTGGCTATTTATTGAGGACCGCATTGCTTTCGTGTTTTTTATGTTGCTCCACTCATTTGCAATTGTTGATCAGATTGATGTTGTTGTCTGATTAGTTGAAGATGTTTGATGTTTAATTTTTTTGGCTTCTTATGCATTTTATGACATGTTGGTTTGGGATGTTTCGTTGGTTCAGATGATCAACATCTTTCCGTAAGAAAATTTTGAGTTAATTTCAATTAAAAAAATGTTTTTTTACATTAATGTTTAGCTTTAATGTTATATTGTGTTTAACACATGTTTGCTTACATTGTTCTCAACATACATTGGGTTAGGTGAATGTTGCAGTGCTTACCAAACATACAATTTATTGCTGTCAGGCAATGATGAAGTAGCATAAAAATTGAAATACTGAACTTGCTGTATAGTTTTGAACTGCTTAGTACTAACAGTGCGCATGCACTAATTACAGTGCACCTGCACTTGAAACCCATTCATCCATTCAAACAAAAATCTCATTATTTCGCTTCATTTGTCAACCCAGTAATATTAGTTAAATTTTTTTGATGAGATCTAAGAACTACTTACTTCAACGTGACATGCTAATTCCAAAATATGGAAATAAAGAAAGTGGATGCTGATGCAAGTAAAAATGATAGAAAAGTGAATGTTTAAAAAAGGAGCGTCACACAAAATTATTCGGCAGACGCGTGAGTGATTAAATGACTGTCGCAACAATGTTTGGTCGTTTTATTTTGTTCCAGGTGAATGAATGGTATTGCAAGCATGCGTCCATCAATTCATTCAGGTGAATTGCAGTGCATTTGTTACACTGTTGATGTTATAACATGTAGTGTTGATACTTAGCAACAAAGTTTTTTCATAATGATATTATTATCATTTTTTTTATTAACATTTGAAAAATAAACACTTAGATGAGTCTGTTAAAAATTCAAATTCAAATAAAACACAAAAATAAAAATAATTTAACCAATATTTCACAGAACTTTACTGAAAAACGTCTAACGATTTCAGGCACATCATTTTCGAATAATGAACAAATTTATTGCCTCATCTCACGCACACCCGTTTTTGTCAATTAACTTTTTTATGTGAACGATAATATAAAATGAACTTATAAAATTTTCCAACAGCATAAAATATTTGAAAAGAGATTTTATTTTATCATATTATCGATGGCTTGCATGGCGAGCCGCGTAACCACTCGATAAATTTCGCAGACTCAAGCAGTTAAATTTCTCAACGTTTGTCGCTGCCAGATGAAGTACATAACAATTTCCCATTGAATATTTTATTTTTAGCGTTGTACGTTAATTGCTTTTGAAATGTTTCATCTGGTTGAGTTCTTCAAAAATAGTTTGCATGTGTGGAATGGTTTGGCGTGCGCGCTTGTTTGAATGAAAGCGGCGAGTCCCGGTCGAATCGGAAGTTTTTGAGGAGCCGAAGTTAGAGTCGGAAATTTTTCATCCGGCGATTCAGACTCATGAAAGCTTCATGAATTTAAAAAATTTTTAATTACTTTTTTCTCAAAATATTTTTTAAGATTGCGTTTTTTATGTACTTAATAATGAGCTTTCATGTCTTAATCATTGTTTAGGAAATCGTAAAAGCAAGAATTTTCGTTTTTTTCTAGATATGCTAAATTGCATTTTTGAAGTTTCGCTGATGGTTATAAAATATTAGCGACTTAAGATATTGAAAAAAAAAATTAAGAAGAAAATAACAATTAACTGATGAAAATTAATGAGAAATGAGTTTTTAAAATTTGAAAAATAATTTGAAAAAAATTATTTTAAAGAATCAGAAACAAAAACATTCGCATATGAATGAATGATTTTGATTATATATTAACGAAGGTATAACACCTTGGTGTATGTAGTTAAACTTTTTGTAGCACAATTTGTTTTCGTTCATTATAAAACAGCTCTGACATTCCATACTTATAATTAAATTTTCATGCCACAAAGGCTGTACTATCCATACGATACGAACTACAGGCGTATTTCTTAAACACGTGTAAACACCACGTCATACACACATAACTTATGATAGTCTTTCTGTTTCGGGCAATCAGTAATCGAACCAGGTCGTCGCGTAACAACTTCGCGAGACATGACACTTTTACCGACGGAAAAAATTTAGAAAAATAAAAAATATTAAAATGTTTTTAAAAGTGCAAATAATTAATCAATATTATTAAAATATTTGATTTCATTCAAAATTATTTTTAATAATATTTGAAAAAGTTTCATGTGGGAATATTTTATTGAAAAATTGCATACCTCATTGAAAGGGTCATCCGCGTCCGACGCCGCCGGATCAAATTCATAATAGTCATCATCATCATCATCACCAACAACAACAACAACATCTTGAACAGTGTTGTTGTTGTAGTAGTTGTTGTTGTGGTTGTTGCCATTGTTGTCTTTCATGCCAAATGTGCCTTTGTAGATTTTGTTATCGATTTCGATTATTTTGTTATTTATCATGTTGTTGTTGTGGCTGTGTTTGTTGACTTTGTTGTTGTTGTTGTGGTTGGTGCTGTTGATGTTATAGTTAATGTTATTGTCATTGTTGATGTTGTTGTTTGAATGAAAATTACTGACGTTGAAATTTATTTGATCGTTTTGGTAAATGTGGTTAGCATTGATCTGATCATACCTAGTGATAATATTGACTTTGTTGATGTTGTTGTTTGTATGGTTGTTGATGCTGTTGTTTGTATGGTTGTTGATGTTGTTGTTTGTATAGTTGTTGATGTTGTTGTCTGTATGTTTGTTGATATTATGTCTAATTGTTCTGGTAATGATTTTCTGATCATATTTATTAATGGCCTGGACCTTGTTGATGTCATTGGCGTGATCATGATTGTTGATGTCATTGTTTATGACCTCATTATCGTAACGACTTTGCGCATGTTTTTTGTTGCGCTGGCATTTTTTAAAGTGCATTCGCTTTAATGAGATTGTTGGTCTGAATGGAGGTGTTTCCATTGTTGTGGCAACATTTTCTGTTGACGCAATTTTTGTTGTTGTTGTTATTGTCATAGTTGTTGTTGTTGTGGCTTTAGCAATTGTTTTTAAGTTTTCTGTCATTATTTCTGTTGTTGCTGGTGGCGCTGACAATGTTTTTAAAGTTGCAGAAAACCACATCGTCTCTATGGAAGAAGATGAAAATTTTTCTTTAATAGGCTCTGATAGAAATTCTGGCTTGTGTGCTGCATTATCGTTGTTGTAATTTGTTGAGGGATTTGTTGCCTCAGTGTTGACAACATTTTGTGTTGTTGCTGTTGCTGCTGTTGTTGTTGTTGGTGACGTAATCGACGTTGTTGCATCAATTGTGTATAACACAAAATTAGAAATAATAACGAATAGAAGTGCAAGATTGAATGTCTTTTTCATTTTTTCAGCCATGATTAACCGCGATGACGTCATCGATCAGGATGATGTTGCAGTTGTTGTTATTGATGTTGACGTAACTGATGAGGATGTTGCAATTGTTGTTGCTGTTGTTGCAGAAAGAACTGATAATGATGTCGTCGTCGTTCTAAATGGTTTTGTTTACAACGCTTCTGTTCATATTAATGGATGGATGATGACGATTATGATGTTGATAATGATGTTGTTGTTGTTGATGTTTATAATGATGTTAATAATAATGATGTTGTTGTTGATGATAATGATGATGACGTTGGCGGTGTTGATAATGATGAAATTCTTCTAAACAATTTTCAAAGGATGGCCATTGTTAGTTTCGTGGCTTCACACTCGCTAGCACGGAGAATAATGAAATTAATGGTTAGCTTTCAAGTGTGCATAAACACACGACGAATAAAATTAGGACAAGGAAGAAATATATTGAAAAAAAATAAATATAAAATGAAGTTGAAATATGTGGTTGTTGTTGTTGTTGTAGGATGGTTGTTGTTGTGTGGTAAAGTGTTGTTGTTTAGTGTGGTTGTTGTTTGGTGTGGTTGTGTGGTTTTGGTTTGGTGTGGTTGTTGTTGTGTAGTGAGATGTTGTTTGGTGAAATGTTGTTTGGTCTGCTAATGCAATTTTAACTTCCCACAGGTGCTTGTGTTTATATTTTAGGCAGTACTATTTGTTCTCTAAGGATGATTGGACATTGATGTTGTTGTTTTTTGTAATTATTTTGTTGTTTTAAGTTGCTGTTGTTGTTGAGATGCTGTAACTTTGTTGTCAATATGAAAGGCATTTGAGAATATATGACATTTTAATCAGCATCTTTTACGATAGTCATTATTTTCATTTTTCTACACTCACTTAGCTGAATGACGGTGCTAATTAAAACGACACAAAATTGAAATCTGATCTCGAAGTTTTTCTGTAAATTTTGTTGTTGTATTGTGTTGTTGTTGTTATGTTGTTGTTGATGTTATGTTGATGGAATTGCTTCTGTTTTTGCTGTTCCAATGCTGAATTGTATTCTTATTGGATGTATTATGCAGTATCGCGATTGTTGTTTATGAACAGACATAGACATAAAATCGACAAATTATTATATAAAAAAATTATCAAGTTAGTCGTTTCTTTGTTGTTTATCTCTTTATAACGTATCACTTGTTTGATTTGTTGTCGTTAGTGACACAGATTTGTTGTCGGTTTTGTTGTTGAGGACATTAATGTTGCTGAAGCAAATGTTTTAGTTGTTGCTCTCGTTAATAATGTTGTTGTTGTTGTTGATTATTTAGTAGATGGTATTGTAGTAGAAACTGTTGAGAGTTTTTGTTAGTTGCTAAATAGTTGTTGTTGTTGATGTTGTTGTCATGTATATTTTAATGACGTTGTAATAGTAGTAGAAGTTGTTAATTGTTGTTATTAAGTATTTTTGATTGATCTTTTAATAGTTGTTAGGATTAATGTTTTTTGTTGTTGTTAAATATTTTATAAAAATAATGTAGTCATTTTTGTTGTAGTCAATGTTTTTGTTGTTGTAAAGTAATTTCAAGATGTCGTTGGCTGTGTTGAATGATTTTTATTGATGCCAATTTTGTGATGTTCTTTTCTAAGCCCGTCAGATTAAATTTTTGCCGTACTTCCGATCACGAAAACTTTTAAATTTTTTATCGGCGGTTATTTTGCTATTTCTTGTGATTAATTACAATTTTTGTTATATAAATGGAATGTTTAATTATTTTTTTTTGTGTTTTAGTCATATTTTATTAATAGGACTTTATTGCATTTAATATTTCTAAAATTAATTTTATTATTGTTAAAATAACATATTTATTAGAAGATGAAAATTTAACAAATTAAACAGAATAATTTATTTCCACTACGGCTTAATTTTCTTTAAATTTCGTAACAGTTACAAATAGTTTTTTACAACTTAATCATTATAATGACATTTGAAAATTTAATACAAACACATTTTATTAATTTATTAACATTAGCAATTAGCAAACTGTTTCAAACTTTTAAAACGAGCGACGAAAAAATTTGAAAATGGAAAAATTGCAGGAGGCTACAGCATGGAAATGAAATGCTCTGATGGTCAGCCCAACATACAATCATCCTTCTTATATACTCAACACACGCTGGCTTCTGTTCGTTTCTTATTATGTTTGCTTGTATGTGTTTCTTTCTATTCGAACAGTTTGTGTCTGTATGTGTGTGTGTGTGTATGTATGTATGTATGTGTGTGTGTGTGTATGTTTGTGTGTGTGTGTGTTATTGTGTGTTATTGTTGTGTATGTATGTGTATATGGAATTAACATTTTTATATTTCTAAATTTATTTTTTTCATTTTCAATTTACGATTTACGTTAAGGTTAAAAAATGTTAACTTTGTATTTTTATTTAATAATTTTTTTTATAATTAATGAAAATTAATTTGTTGTTTTTAGAAAAAAAAAATCCAATCAAATTCATTTATTAAAAAAACTGTATACTTTATGGTAAGCAAACATGTACAACACACACAAATTCTTCATACGTACAAAAGTTGACATTTTGGCATTGTTTCCTATTACAAATTGGCTTTGTTCTAAGTATGAAGACATGCAAAACTTTTTTAAACATTTTTTTTTCAAGTTTTTCTACTAAAAAGCTTAAGTGACCCCACATGACACAGGATTGAAATTATTTTCATTCATTAAAATAGAAAGAAGTTACTAGTTTGTCAAGACTGATATATGAAGTGATAAATATAATGTAATGTGCCGTGACGTGATGCAATTTGATGTGATGTGATTTGATTTGATGTGATGCAATTTGATGTAATTTGATGTGATGTGATGTAATTTGATGGGATGTTACATGGAAGTGTTGTAGCTGGAAAAAAAATTATTTGCATGCCCGCGCGCGCGCGCGCGTGTGTGTGTGTATGTGCGTACGTATGTTTGCGTGTGTTTGTGTTTGTTTGTGTGGGCACATCTTCTTAGAATCATCGATTTTTTTTGGTATAATTTTAGCAACAAAATGAACGCTGAATTAATTATGTACTTTTCAAATTTCAAAATTTTACATTTGAAATTAATTTTATTTGATTTCTTATTGCACTTACATGGAATAAAATGTGCGTGTGTGCGCGCGTGTTTTTGTTTGTGTGTGTGTATTTGAGAGAGAGAGAGAGAGAGAGAGAGTGTGTGTGTGAGAGAGAGAGAGTACGTGTATGTGTTTGTATAAATGTTTAAATTTATCATCATTTACCATCAAAGATACCAACACATACAGAAATATAAAATGAAACATCAGAGCAGTTGAGCAGCACTTGGAATAATTTAATTTCTTTGTCACACATCTGAAAAGACGGAAAAACTGTTTTTGTGACTAGCGACAATTGACAGATTTTATTAAATTGTTCATTATTTTTCAGTTTTTTTACTTTTGAACTATAGTATGCAAAATAAAACATTGTTTTTCATGCAAAAAATTTTAAAAATATTAATTTTTTTTTTAAGTTTAGTAACTTAACCGAATGACTCGCAGGTAACACTGAGGATGGACAACTTGGTATCACATCGACGAGGATGGGCTGGAAGTGACAGAAAGTGGAGCATTGTCACTGTTGAATGTAGATAGATTGATTGACAATTAGTTTTATAAGTTTGTGCCTCCAACGGGCTTGTCTCTGTGTCTACATCTGTATCTGTATGTGTATTCGCATCTGTATGTGTATTCGTATCTGTATCTGTATGTGTATTCGTATATGTATGTGTATTCGTATCTGTATGTGTATTCGTATCTGTATCCGTATTTGTATCTGTATCTGTATTCAAGGATTTGTGGAGGGCCTCTGTCTTAATAATAAATTTAGAAGCGTTAGCCTCACTTGAGAATGTTAAAACATATGATGTTTCAAACCTTTCTTAAAAACAAGTCGGCTCATGCATTTGTTATTTTTAATATTTTATTCATATAATAATTAAAAAAAATATTTAAATAAAATTTGTTTCTACGGTTTAATTAAACTAAAACAAAGCATGTTGCATTATGTCCAGGAAAGAAGAAGCTTGTACATGTACATAAATTTGTAAAAGTGAGTGTATAGGTGTGTGTGTGTTTGCTGTGTGTGTGTTTTATGTTCAGACTAGGTGTACCTGTTGTGTAGAAACATCATTTATTCATCTTGGCAGCAGTATTTAATGAAGTGTGACAAAAAAAAACTTTACAAAACAAAAATTCAAAAGAAACATAGAAATTAACGAGACTAATCACAATGACAAATTCTCTCATGTCTAGAGTTTTGCAAAATTGTATTTCATTTGCACGATAAATTGTAAGGAGGAACCTTTTTCAAAATTTCACTCTATTTTTTAATGCATATGTAGAATTTGTTTGCGCTAAAGATAAACTTTATTTTTCATTGATGTATGCGTTGATGTTGGTCTGTTCGTTATCATTCCTTATTTTGATGTGTTAGCGCTGTTGTTGGTTAGTTGTCGTTGGCTTACCGAGTTGACGTTATTATTATTTTATTGTTGAAGTTCTTGTTATTAGGTACACGTTTCTATTAGCGTTGATTGCTTTTTCCCTGGCAGAGTATAAAAATTGAATTAGTATGTCCCTTCTTTCCTTTGTTTCTCTGTTCATTTCTTTGTTTGCGTGCAAGTTTGTTCACTGATTTGTTTGCCTGTTTGTCTATTTGTATGTTTGCTTGTTTGTCTGTTTGTCCATCGACTTGATGGGCTGGTGTCATCTTTATCTGAGTTGGTGAAAAACGTTTTCTTTATATTTGCATTGGAGGTTCGTATGTCTGCCTGTGCAGTGCATATGTTTGAACTTTTGCCGCTGTTTGTGTGTTTAAAAAATTTCGTATACATTTATTTTCTATGTATTTGTGTGTAAGTGTGTGTGTGTGTGTGCAAAGGTGAGTGAATGTTTGTGTGTCGTGTGCAAATCTCGTGAAACAAACCTGTGATTTTATATCGGCATCTTATTTTATGGGGAGTGCAAAAATTTGGTCCTATCTGATTGTTGGTTGTTTGCTTGTATGTATATAATCGCTCTTTTGTTTGTTTGTATTTTGTTTGTATGTTTGTTAAACTATATAGACAACAGACATAGTTTTTCAGAGTCATACAATATTTTTTTCAGTAGATATTTTTAAAATGTCATCATTAACGTCATCGTCATTTTTTTCTTTCTCCTCCGCCTCATCATCTTCATCTTATTCATTCTCATCTTACTCATCCTTATCTTTATCATCCTATTCTTAACCATCATCATCATCGTCGTCATCACCATCATCATTCTTAATGTCAAATAGCATCCCAAGTGCTCCATACATATTTTAAATTTGTAGTGGGATGTTGCTGGCATCCCTCATCATGCCATCAACACTTCGTTGAGCTGCTGTCATCATCAGCATCATCTTAATCATTGTCATCATCATCATGTCCTTATCATCATAACCAATGTCTTATATTCTTATTCTTCATTATGTAGCTATGATCGTCGTCATCGTAATTATGGTTTTTGTTCCCGTTGTGACCTTACCACCGTCAGTTTATTAACATCGTACGAAATGCCGTTGACATCCAATGAAAAACGTTCTTTGGATTATTAAATTGTAAAAAGTAATGTTCCCAGCATAATGAGTGCTAATGAGTGCTAATGAGTGCTAATGAATGATAATTATCATACGCCATCATCATTTTTACGTTCTTTTTATTATGAATCAATCTATTTTTTAAGAAAAATTTTTTTCTTCTTTTAATGAAGGATAATGATTAGTGTAATTAGAAGAAACTAAAATAAAAGATGGAAAATGAGAGAAAGAGAAAAGAGAGAGAGAAAGAGAGAGAGAGAGAGAGAAGTATTTCGTAAAGCAATTTTTTTTCTGCCATGTTGACTGAAAATATTCCTCTGATGATTTTTTTATCGTTGAAGAAAATTGCAATCCCACCTCATGAAATTTACGTTGCAACGTTGTTATGCCTTTTGCCGTTGTTGTTGACTTTTTCTACCAACATCTGTCTTTCCATGTTTTTGTTTGTACTGCACGTTTTAAAAATTTAAAATTTTTCACAATCTAAGGTTCTTTTTCTTGAATGGTTATACCCAAACTAGTTCAGACATTTTTAAAGAATTTATTTTTGCAAATAAATAACAAATATATTTTTTTAATTTGTGAGATTTATATGTTATTTGGTTTGTTTTTTAACTACTCTAGGACGGCAGATGTGTGTATTGCTACGTTGTTAGCATGTGTGGACGTTCAGCGGATCGATAGTGACAATCACGTTGATACTAGGATGGCAGAGTAGGTGTCAGTAGTTTTAATTACAAAACTATGAAGAAGAACAACATTTTACCGTAATGCCGCTTATAAATACGGCCATAAACGCGTGAAAAGTTTAGCTGTTTGTATTTGCCATGTGGAAGTATCCAGGTGCATGTTGGCAGTTTAATCATGAGGGATGATCAGATATATTTACTATATTGAATTTAAATTAAAGTTTGTTAGCAATTAATATAATAATACATAATGATAACTGATTGGCTGATTCAACGTACAATATTTGTAAACAACTGTGGGATTTCTATTTTCAAATTATACATTTTCATGTTCAAAAGGTTGAGTACTGCATGAATCTTGTAACAAACTCTCAGCTTAAATTTGAGAGTTGATATCTGATATGATATGATATGATAATCTGAGATATGATATCAGTGCAACATTCCGAAAAATTCGAACAATTATAATACTTAACGATAACTAATGGGTCGTTTCAAGATACTGTATAACAATATTTATACTATATATTTAGATACATATATCAATATACTATATATCAATATTTATACTATATATTCAGATACATATATCAATACTATATAACAATATTTATACTATATATTCAGATACATATATCAATACTATATATCAATACTTATACTTTATATTCAGATACATATATCAATACTATATATCAATACTTATACTTTATATTCAGATACATATATAAGTACTATATATCAATACTTGTACTATATATTCAGATACATTATATTTTTAATTAACTGCGTTTTTGCCAAAAGGTTAAAAGGTGAAATCGACACTTTCTGCAGCAGATGGTCAATTTTGTTCCAATTATCAAAGAGCATCAACCCCCTATTGAAATCTTTGCTATCATCATCATTGTTGTCATCATCATTATCATCATCATCGTCATCGTCGTCGTCATCACTAACACTATCCAAATCATCATCAACATCCTTGTCATCATCATCAACCTCGGCTTCATTTGTCATCATGTCTTTAACAATGTGACTCATTCTGGCAGCATATTTTTTTACAAACTTCCCTAGAGTCGCAATTATCATGTGATTGTTTTCTTACCACTATTAATAATATTTGTTATAATATGTCCTATATTTATCACCAATTAATTTTCAATAATTTGGATCACATTCATCGTCATCACTTTCTTCTAGGAGCCCACATCCATCATCTTAATTAACGGAAACATATTTAGCGTGACTATCTTCATTAGGAGAGGACCCGACCCATGTAGGACTCTCTTCTCCATGCAACTCAGTATCTTTTTAATGCATTTCTTACAACTTACTGGAAATATAACAGAAGTTAATACACTAACATCTACTACAAAAATAGAAGCAGAAGAAATATAGATATATAACACAACAGCCACAAAGACAACTACACATAGAAATATAAACTAATTTTAAACACCAACCAACCACGATTTAAACGACAACAACAGCAACATCTAACAACTTTAAAACTAACATCAAAACATCTATAATGCTTGAAACCTAGCTTTATAATGTTTGTATGATCATATCACATTAAAATACTATCACAACATCGTCAGCTTCATAGAAATCTACACCAACTAATCAGTAACGATATTATTAATAACAGCAACAACACTAACAACACATTCAGTGACATCAATGAACTCAGCACGCCTCAAATCAGACCTATCAAATTACCAATATAAAATTAATCACCTAGCTCAATGGCAGCATATGATACACACTCACAAACACACACACGCACGCACACACACGTATACACACACACGTACATACATGCATGTATACGTATATACACACATACATAAATACAATTATATATTCGTACACACAAAAATGGTGATACAAATATAAACGTACAAATTTTTTACAAAAATATGTAGCCGAACGAATTGACATTCACAGTACAGTACATGTGTGTGTATAAGGGAAACAGCGTGAATCAATTAGATTCGTTTCTTTCTTGATTGATGGCTAAGAGCAGTGTTCGGATTTCTTTTCATTATTCAAGGTGACCGATAAATAAAAAACTGGACCTACAAACTTTTTCACATTTTATATCAATTTTCACAAAAATTATTTTACATGTTTATTTATTTTTATTTAAAATTACACGGATAACTTATTTGAAAATATGTAAAATTTCAGCGTACATGCAGCACAAATTGAAATTTCTTCTTGCCTTTGAACCTGGCTCAATGAGCAGCATATACTTTTTTTTTTCCATCGGAATGATTTACTGTACCGTAACTTCTACAATTACATAATGATTATATTTTCCGTGAAATTACACCAATCCATAGAAGCATCTTACTAGACCATCCTGACATGAACTCACCTTGATATAACACACATCGTCACACCACACCAAATACACCACACCACACTACACCACACCACAACACACCACACTACACTACACCACACCACATCAGATAGTTGCGTCGTCGCAAAATCATATTACATTACATACATAATGTAATGTGTCTTTATCATTTACTCAATTTAGTTTTCTCTTTTATCAGTCATTTAACTAACTTACTAAGTCATCTGCTAGTCTAATAATTAATTAATTAATAATTTAATTACTTAATTAATTAATTTGTTTGTTTTTATAAACTGTAGATCATTACCTTATTTTACTTGTTTGAATGCTTAAACATTTCTTCTCCGTTATTTATTTTCCGCTATCAGTTTCTGCGTTTGTCAGGCTCTGGTTTTTTAAAGGATGATAAAAAAATATATTCCCATAAAAATCACGTATCATCGTATCCCAATAGCACCAATCCATCATATGGCGGCGGGCACATCATTATAACGTCACGTCATCAAATTAACACGTCATACATCATTTTAGCATGTCACATCCATCTCTTCCATCTCATTTTAAAAAATTCAAGAATTCAATTTCAAGTTTTTATGCGTTAGAATATTTCTACGTACGTACATGTAGATATTTAATTCCGTATTGTATAATAAATTGAATACAAAAATTATTATGATAAATTTTTTTCATTTTTATATATACAAAAAAACGCGCATATTGCTGTGATTTGTAAAAAAATTTTTAAATTTATCTAGTTTTTTTATAAAAAAAAATATTCAAGCGATCACTATTTGAAAAAAGCTGTTAATATGTTGTAATTAGTAATTATACATCTGTTTTTTATTTCCAAATAATTTTTTTCATAAGCGTTCAGTAGTAAGTTATTTTTATTGTGAATTTTCAACAATATACTTCAATTGCCACAGTTCACATGGATGGATGTGGCCAGGCTTGATCAAATGTTGATTTATAACGTTGCTAATGCTAATATTAAATATTTTTCGTTGGCTGGTTGCGGATGTTTGGGTTATTTTGTTCGTTTTGTTGTTGGTAATAATTTTTTTGGATTTTGTTGTTGTTTGTATTTTGTTGTTGCTGCTGTAATTCCTACGTTGTCTTGTGTGTGTCTTCGTTTTTTTGTCTTCCTTGTGTGTTTTCATTGTTGTTGTTGTCGTTGTTGTCGTCACTGTTGTCGTTGCTGGCGTTGATGTTGTTTTGTAGATGGGTATAGAGTTTCGTTAAGATCTTCATGTTTCTAACTTACTCGTAATAAATTATTCAATTATAAAAATTCTTTCAATTTTTCTGATTTGTATCTATTTTTATTTTCGAATCATCTGGAATTATTTTTTGTTTTGCGCGAAAAATAATTTTTTATTCTAATTTTTGAAAAATTTTTACCGAACACGGCGTAATACTGAGTATCACGCCATTAAATATGCATCATAAGTAAGACCGACCGAAATGGGAATGTTTATTTCTTTGATGATATGTGCTTGTACGTATTCTACTCTAGTGGTTGGACTTGTCTGGGACTTTGCATATTAGTGTGGTTTATGATGCATTTTTATAACTTCGGCTGATGTGTTATGTTATTTTAATACGTTATAAAGTCATTGTAATGTTACATTGTTGGTTTGTACATTGTTTGTACGCATTAATTCGCCAAATTAATAATTCTATCTCTTTTTTTTAACAAAGAAATTTAATTTAAGAACATTGTTATAATACTTTTTCAAAATATATGGTAAAATATACAATTGATATAGCAATAGTGTATAAAAGTGTTTGAACATTGAGAAATGAACAAGGTGAAAGATTCCTGCAGTGCTTACTGATTTATCATTGCATGTGAATATGTTCACTAACGCTCATATCCTATCATTGATTAAGTAGAATACTCATTCAAATTAATATTTAACTAATTATGCAATTATTTCATTTAATTACTCAATTTAAAGTTATAGTTAAATGATCAGTTAATATATTAATCGCTTCAGAAAGGGGCAGTTTAAAATCTAGCAATGATGTTATTAATATTCATGTAATAATTAAAAATATAATTCAATTGAGTAATAAAAATTACTTTTAAAAACTTGTTCATCTGATTGTAACATGTTTTACGTTTACAATGATGATTTTACGTGTAAAGATAACTTGCCTGTCTTAGTTTGATTTCAATATTTATTATAGATAGGAAATAATTACATCGGCTCTATGAAACGATCACATTGTGATAGGTACCTTCTAATTCATACCTTTGAATCTTGCTGGATATCAAACTTTTCTTGTCAAGAATGGAGTAGAAAGTAGACAAGAAAAAAAAACAGAGAGAGAGAGCGAGAGAGAGAGAGAGAGAGGGAGGGAGAAAGAAAT